CTTGGAGTAGGACGTGCAGTGCACACCTGTTGGCCGTCTCTTGGAGTAGGACGCGGCAGTGCACACCTGTTGGCCGTCTCTTGGAGTAGGACGCGGCAGTGCACACCTGTTGGCCGTCTCTTGGAGTAGGACGCGGCAGTGCACACCTGTTGGCCGTCTCTTGGAGTAGGACGTGCAGTGCACACCTGTTGGCCGTCTCTTGGAGCAGGACGTGCAGTGCACACGTGCTCACTGTTTCTCACACTTGGCTATGAAAGTAGGTCATGAAAGCTGCTGGGAGTGTCTCTGATCCATGCTGGGCTTCCCAGAGTCCCTGTCCTGACAGGTATGTGCTGTTGTCACGCCCTGGGCCTTCTTGTCCCAGTAGAGACTTCAGTAGGAACCGTTCTGGACGTGCGTTCTCCATATTTAGCCACATTTGTTTTCTTAGTTTTATTATTATTTCATTTTTTGAGGCTGTAATAAACAGTAAGTGTAACTTCTAACATTGAATAGTTTTCAGTCATATTTAGCATTTCCAAAATTATTTTATCGTGATGTCACTCTTTTCCTATGAAGCATAATCATGCAGAGGCAGAGACGTGCAGTCCCTGGGTCTGAGGACTCTCAGGCAGAACACATGCATGGCGGGAGCAGGGACCAAAGGCAGTGTCCCGGACTTCACTCAGGATCCCAACATCCAGTGAGGCCAGGGCACCAGCCCATGGAGGAGGGGACCACTGCCATTGGTGGAGCCACTCCAGATCCTCATTGTCAAGACAGTTTTCAAAAAGTGTGTACTCATGCACTCACGACAGGAGGAGGTAAGAGGGCTAGCGTCCCCCAGTGAGGCGTGGTCATACTGCACACCCCTGTCCTCTGCTCCTCCACCCGACAGGATTTGGAGCATGCCACACACACGTGTTCAGTTTTTCAGGCCGCTGGGCCAGGACTTGAACTGTGTTTGGCCATGTGGGACCCGGCTTCTGTGCACAGAGCTTAGCCACTGCTACGGGGCCAGCCCTGCTCCTTCTTCGCTAGTCTCCAGGTACAGTTGACAACTAGGAATTGTATATATTTGTGACGTACAACATAGTTTTTTTAAAAAAAGAATTATTCAATTTTGTTATAAATAATAATCATATTGAACTTTTTTTTTTTTTTTTTGGAGAGGTTTTTGCTATAGGGTGCGTGCACTCACCAGACAGACAGACAGAGACACATAGAGACAGAAAGCGAGAAATCACCCCCCGGGGGGATGGTCACTCCGCAATCCCTTCTCCTCCATTCTTCTCTCAGGATTTTGGGCACACACGCACAGGCGCCCGGCGTGAGTTCTAAGCCACCGGGTCTGGGACGCAAACCGCGGTCGACTACGTGGGAGTCCAGCGACATAGCCATTACGCTAACTGCTGGTTTTCTGAACTTTATTTTTTAATTTGACTACAAGGGGACAGAGAGAGGGGGAGAGGGAAAGTGAGAAAACTAACCTCCAGATCTGGGACTGGAACCATGATTGACCATGTGGGAGTCCAGTGCCCTTATCCACCACGTCACCTGCTGGCCCCATTTAATTTAATCACATTCATTATCATCACTTTATTTATTTTTTTGAAGTTGACCAGAGAGGCAGAGAGAAGGGGAGTGAGAAAGCAAGCTGCCAGGTCTGGGACGTGAACCACAGTCAGCCATGTGGGAGTCCAGCTGCCTTTACCACCACGCCACTGCCAGCCCCTAGTATGATGCTTTTATATATGCAAAATAAAAGCTTATACCCGGGACCAGTAGTTAGTGTAATGGCTATGTCGCTGGACTCTCATGTAGCCGACTGGTTCAAGTCCTGGACCTGGTGGCTTTAACTCACACCAGGCGTGTGTACGTGTGTACCCAAGATCCCGAGAGGAGAATGGAGGAGAAGGGATTGCGGTGTGGCCATCCTCCCTGGGGGGTGATTTCTCGCTTTCTGTCTCTGACTCTCTGTCTTTCTGGCGAGTGAAAGTGCCCTATAGCAAAAACCTTTCAAAAAGAAAAAAACAACTCTGGAGTTAGAGACTGAGATGGTCCCCATCTACCTCCCAGCGCTGTGGCTGTCCCCAGCGTCTGGTGCTGGTCCTGGGTGTGCGTGTGCCTGGCAACCTGAGGGGGTCCTTGGGTGAGAACTGGGGCCTTCTGACGTGGCTCTGCCGCAGTGTCCAGCTTTGCTGGTCCGCTGCTCTCCAGCCCTGTCCAGGAACTTTGCTGCTTGCTCAGAGCTGAGCTCGTTAGCACGCCTGGTGGTTCAGGGTTGAGGGGTTCCTCGACTGGCTGAATGGATGGTCGTCCTAAGGGGGCGTCTTCTAGAGACCCTACAGTCCTCAGGCACACATTCTGGGAGCATCTCAGAAGGTCTTGACCTCATTGTGTTGATTGACATTCATGTGTTCATGTTTAGTGGGGTCAGGACCAGCAGTTGGCGTAATGGCTATGTTGCTGGACTCCCATGTAGTCGACTGCGGTTCGAGTCCCGGACCCAGTGGCTTAAACTCACACTGGGAGCGTGTGCATGCGTGCCCAAGATCCTGAGAGGAGAATGGAGGAGAAAGGATTGCAGCATGGCCATCCCCCCTGGGGGGTGATTTCTTGCTTTTTGTCTCTCTCTCTCTCTCTCTCTGTCTTTCTGGTGAGCTTACGCGCCTTATAACAAAAACCTCAAAAAAAAAAAAAAACCCACAAAACATGTTTAGTGGGTCTCCTTGGCACTCCTTGGTGTAGGATTGGGGACAGGGACTGTGGTCTGTCCAAGGTCCTCCAGAAGTTCCTGGGAGGTGCTTATTAAAAAACTGCCCGGCTCTCAAAAACTTTCGCATCAAAGTAAACATGTACTTTTTCTTTCTTTTTTAACTTTTGTGGGAGATTTTTGCTATAGGGTGACTGCATTTGCTGGAGAGACAGCCAGAAAGTGAGAAATCATCCCCCAGGGTAGATGACCACGTCAAATCCCTTCTCCTCCCGGGATCTTGGGCATGCGTGCACACAGGCCTGGCAGGAGTTTCAAGTCACTGGGTCCAGGACTCAAGCTCTGATTGGCCACGTGGGAGTCCAGCGCCTTAACCACTACACCACCATCACCATCTGGCCCTGTAAATGTGTGCTTCAATTCCAGTTTTCCACAAACTTTTTGAAGTTCCCTGTATATTTATAAATTTTCTTCCTTTTTATAGGAAAGGGGTCAGCAGGTGGTGTGGTGTGGAGGTTAGGGCTGTTGGGTTCTACATGGCGGACTGTACAAATCGGATCTCCAGAACTGAGCGCTTGATCATGCTGGGATGTGTGGGCCCAGAATTGGGAGAGGAGAGTGGAGGAGAAGGGATTGTGGATTGGCTATTCCTCCCCGCACCCCCAGCCCTGGAAGGGGGAGGTGGGGGTGGAATGGTTTCTCTCCCTCTATTCCTCTCTGGTGAGTGCATGCACCCTAAGACAAACTAAAGCAAATAAAGTCTCTTGTGGAACGTGCTTGGTGCGCTACGGAAACGTGCTCCCTCAGCCTCGGCCAGCGTCGCGGTTCTCGGCACCTGCCCTGCATTGGCACAAGTGCAGCCCCGTAGCAGAGGTGCACACGCTGTGACTTACCCCGGATTCCGATGACCGAGGACGCAGCCTGCTCTCAGATGTCACTCAGAATGCGATGCCTTTGGTGCCCGGTGTGACCTGTCACTTACGTTCCTAGAATTAATAGGTCAAGGGCTGCTGGTCCTTAAAAACTTGACGTTGTTAGCTTTTAGTCAAGATTACACTATGTGAGTGTTTGTGATATATTTTTAAAGACTGTGCCTGGTTGAGTTTTACGTGTTTTTTTTTTTTTTTTCCCCACTATAGGGCACGTGCGCTCGCCAGACAGAGAGAGACATAGAGACAAAAACCGAGAAATCACCCCCCAGGGGAGATAGGCCACGCCGCAATCCCTTCTCCTCCATTCTCCTCTCGGGATCTTGGGCACACACGCACACGCGCCTGGCGTGAGTTTTAAGCCACCAGGTCCGGGACACGAACCGCGGTCGACTACGTGGGAGTCCAGCGACACAGCCATTACGCTAACTGCTGGTTCCCAATTTTACGTGCTTTGGTGCTTTGAAGTCACCTGGAAAAGAGTAGCCTTTCGACCTTGACGAGAAGCTGCAGACTAGCCAGCCTTTCAGGATGGGCGGACCACTTCTCACGTGGAGGACTGCTTGAATTTTATTGAGATTTTTCTGTTTCCGCCTGGAAGGGGCTGAGAGAATGACTGTTGTCAGGCTTTGTCGTGGATCTAGGTTCCAGTTATGCCCACTGGCAGTCACACGCGTGCTCATGGAGCCCCTCTGGGTGCGGAGCACAGCGGAGTCGTCTGCTGCCCAGCACCCTACCTTCTTGTGCTGCACGGCCTCAGTGGGCCCAGGGAGCTGAGGCCTCCTCAGACAGGCTCCTCCAAGGTTAAGGCGGTCTCCAGAAGCCCAGGTGGGTGGGGAAGGAACCGAAAGCCCGGGCAGGGGCTGCTGGCAGGCACTGCTCTGCCCTTGGACTGGTGCCCGGCTGGTGGGCAGCCACCGTGGCAGGGGCAGGAGTGTACCTCAGGACCTCCGTCTGGCAGAACCAGCCGCAGTACAGCGGCCAGAGTGCAGGAAGGGGAGTCCTTGGGGGCCCGGGGCGCAGAGGCGGCTCCCTGGAGCACTGCCCCTCTGAGTCAGGGGTGCGTGGGACCTGCCTGTCTGCCTGGCTGGGCTGCTCGGGGGCAGGGTGGGGCACAGCTGCCTGCCCCGGCCAGACACCTCCTGTGTGGTCAGGCTTTGGTTCATGTTTGTTTCTTCCTCACATCGACATGTGCGTTGTCAAGTTGGGCAGAGGCCTGTGCGGGGGGAGGGCGTGAGGAAGCTTCCCTCACGGGGACCGTCCTGCCACAGTCGCTTCCCCATTTCTCCCTCCTTTCGATCGCGTTCAGGTGTGCCCGGTGTGGTTTTCAGGTGTCTGTTCCAAGACCCACACTGTGTGATAGGTCATGGGAGATCCAGTCACTGTTTGGACTACCAGGTTGGCTTTTTTTTTTTTCTTTTATTCTGTAAACAATCTGAGAACTAAAGGGTTACATGAAATATTAGCATAAGAGCTTTTGTTCTATCTCTTAAGGCAAAGTCTGGGGGGCTGGCAGGTGGCGTGGTGGTTAAAGGTGCTGGATTCCCACATGACCAACCGTGGTTCGAGTCCTGGACCTGGTGGCTTGCTTTCTCACTTTCTCCATCTTTCTCTGATCAAACTGGAAAATAATAATGATAAAGTTAAATAAAATAATTCTTTTAAAAAGGCAACGTCAGGCCGTCCTGATCTTTGCGGGCTATTAGGGCTGTGACAGGAATTGGTGTGAGGCATGTGGACGACGGGTCTTGAACTTGGTTAAGAACGGGCTGGCAGGCAGGGTTTGAAACATGGCGGACGACGTGGACCAGCCACAAACCACCAACACTGTGGAGGAGCCCCTGGATCTCATCAGGCTCAGCCTGCGTGAACGAATTTACGTGAAAATGAGAAGTGACCGAGAGCTTCGAGGCAGGTTACCTGCTTGTGATGAGCATTTAGATGTGGTACTAGGAGATGGGGGAGAAACTGACTACTACATGAAGAGAGCTATAAATCAGCGAAATGGAGTATTCCGCTCTTTGTCCGGCACATGGTGGTGTGTTAGTTGCCCCTCCATTGAGAGGAGGCTAAAACAAAGAATTTGTTCTGTTTGGAAAAACAGGAGACTGTACAGTTACCTCTTTAGGTGTACAAGACCTTCAGAGGAGAAACACACAGCATCTGAAATTATTTGAGGATTCTTTTACTCCTAAACGAGCTGATTTATAGATAATTCACAACTTCTTAGGCTGAGTGGCATTTTTATTTTTCTCCAACTCTTACAATAAGTGTGATCACTAAGGTACAAACTCAAAAAGAAAAGAAGGGCTGATGGCCCTGAGTTGTGTCTGTCGGCCTTGTGGTTTGTAATGGAGGTGCTGAGCGTCTCTGAGCTGTGTTTTTAGAGTTTGCTCAATCACTTATTGGCAGCGACGGGGGGAGAGACACAGACGGGGAGGACAGGCACCCTCACAAGGTCCTCCACCAAGGTCCTGTCAGCCAGGATCTCGGTGCACTGGTCACCAGGAGGAATCCCTGTCCCCATGTGAGCCCCAGCATTGCAGAGGCACTACCAGGACTGGCCTGTCATTTGGCACTTCGATGCAAGAAGGCAGTGCCTGAAAGTCTCTGGTTCTCATGATTTGCATATTTTCTGCCTTTTCATCCTTGTTTTGTTCAGTTGTTTTGGGTGTGGTTTTTTTAAAGACAGGATCTTGCTGTGTTGCAATACTCCTGCCTCAGGCTCCCGACGGGCCTGGGCCTGGGCCTGGGCCTAGCATCTGGGGGGGGGGGGGGGGGGGCTGGGAATGGAAGCTGGGTCTCCCATGTGACCTCAGCCCGCGGACACCACTGCATCCGGGCCAGCTCGGCTCCTCCTGGGTTTCTTACCCCAGTTTAAACTTCTGAGGGCTTTTCTTGACCAGGCTCGTATTCAAGCAGAGGACAGATTTGATTGTCGTTGTTTTGCTGGTTACTGACTCGCCGTTGTGAAATCTGTTGCCACTGTTTCTTCATTAAAAAATGGGGGAACACGGGACCCATGATGGCGTAAGGGCTATGTTGCCAGACTGCCAGATAGTTGACCGCGGTTGAGTCTCGGTCCTGGCGGCTTAAAACTTGCGCCAGGTGTGTGCACGTGCCCGCAATCCGGACAGGAGACTGGAGAAGGGACTGTGGCGGGACCATCCTTGGGGTGGTTTGTTGCTTTCTCTCTCTCTCTGATGAGCACATGCACCCTATAGCAGAAGTCTCTCTAAAAGGGAGGGGGACAAACAGACTTTTTTTGATACTAGTTTTTTTTTTTTTTTTTTTTTGAAAGAGAGATGTTTTAATATAGGGCACATGCACTTGCCGGAGAGAAAGACAGAGAGACATATGGCGAGAAATCACCCTCTAGGGGGAGAGGGGGTGATCACGCTGCAGTCCCTTCTCTATTCTCCTCTTGGGATCTTGGGCACACATGCACATATGCCTGGTGTGAGTTTTAAGCTGCCGGGTCCAGGACTCAAACCATGGTCAACTATGTGGGAGTCCAGTGATGTAACCATTCCACCATCTGCTGGTCCCTAGTGTTTGGTTTTCATAAAATTGTTTTCAGGTTTCCAGTGTGAACAGTATAAAAGTTCTAGAACTCAAGAAGAAAGTTATCATCTATGGGTGGCAAATAATATCGTTAGCGTCCTTGTGCTGTCCACACAGTGCTTCATCAGAACCCTTTTCTCACTGCAGTATTTCATTGTAATGGAGAATAATTTTCATGTGAAGCTGGCTGCTTCATAGTGTCTTTCTGATTGCTATGGAAACATCCAGTGTGGTGTGATTGCTCCCGAGAGCGTGGAGTCTTGCAGTAGTATAGCTCTGAGGGCAGGCGCAGAGGCGTCCTTTCCGTCCCTCTTGGTCACAGGATGGCAGTGGCGTGTTCTCTCCTTGCCCTCTAAGTGCCGGGAGTGCTTAGTCCTGAGCCGAGTGACATGGCTCTCTGCCTTGCTGTCTGAGTGAATTTGTCCTCCTGATCTCACCCGTGGCTGAGCCCTCTCCCGCCCTTTCCTGCTCATCCTTGAAGACCGTCTCCTGTCTCCTGAGCGATCAGTAGGGGCTGTTGAAAATGACCACTCAAGTGACCAAGTACCACCCAAGTACCGAGTTTCACCCAAGTGACTGAGCTCCCCGAGTACCACCCAAGTGACTGAGCTCCACCCAGGTACCTAGTACCACTCAAGTACCTGAGTACCTACCATTCAAGTACCCGAGCTCCCTGAGTACCACCCAAGTACCCAAGAACCTCCCAAGTGACCGAGCTCCACCCAAGTGACCTAAGTGACTGAGTTCCAGACAGGTACCTAGTACCACCCAAGTGACAGAGTTCCACCCAAGTGACTGAGTTCTACCCAAGTACCTGAGTACCACCCAAGTACCTGAGCTTCCCGAGTACCACTCAAGTGACTGAGCTCCACCCAGGTGACCAAAATCCACCCAGGTGACTGAACTCGACCCAAGTGACTGAAGTGACCAAGTTCCACCCAAGTACCTAGTACCACCCAAGTGACTGAGTTCCACCCAAGTACCTAGTACCACCAAGTGACCGAGCTCCACTGAAGTGATTGAGTTCCACCCAAGTTATTGAGCTCTACCCAAGTGACCGAGTTCTACCCAAGTACTGTGTACCACTGCTCTTAAGCTGAAGGCCTGCCTGCCTACCCCTTTAGGAGGTCCCTGCGCCTGCATGGGAAGGGGCAGGCTGGGGAGGGATGGCCTCACACTTGACAGAGGAGAGGGCGACCACTCCCTGCCAGGCCATTGGGATGAACTTGTCTTTGAAGGTGAGTTAGATTTTTTTTTTTTTTCATCAGAGAGGGATGGGGGAGGGAGTGAGAAATCAAGCCACCAGGCTCAGGACTCGAACCATGGTCAGCTATATGGGAGTCCAGCACCCTTAAACACCACGCCACTTGCCGGTCCCTTGAGTTAGATTTTAAATTGCGGTTTTCATGAATTATCCATCAGTTAACATGGGGCTGTTACTGGCTTGTTCTGAGTTTGAAGTTGGTGCCAGTCGAACCTGAGAGGCAGCTTCCTGCTAAGTTGTTGAAGACCCAGAACAGTGACAGTGTTTGACGCCACGAAGTCAGCTCTGGAGCCCTTGCTCCCAGCCCCATCCATGTGGCGTGTTCCAGAGACAGGCTGTAGGCCAGGGCAGCTGGGCGTGGTGGTTAAGGTGCCTGAATCTCATGTGGCTATCAGCACGGTTTGAGTCTCAGGCCCAGTGCGTGATCAGCAGCTACGTGCACGTGTGCATATACCCTCATCCCCAGTGAGGGAGAGATGGAGGAGAAGGGATTGCAGCATGGACGTTCCCCGTGGGGGGCTTTCTCTCTCCCTCCCTGTCTCTTGTAAGCACATACTTCCTGTGGAAAATGAGAAGAAAGGGGTGCCCGCAGACTGTCCATGTGGGTGAGGAAGTGATGCCGTGTTCTGCTGTGAGAAGCCACAGGGGAAGGTCTTCACATGCTGGCCGCATGCCTGTGACCCGACCCATGGCGGCTGGGGTGGGCTACAGTTCGAGGGTCCTGCTGGGAAAGCCAGTTTCTCCCAGAAGAAAGAAGAGGAAGAAGTGGATTGAAGAACAGTGACTCCCGAGTGGCCGTGCCTGCTTGGACACCTCTACTGAGTGTCCTGTGTGTGCGGGAGCAGGCGGTGTGTGAGGCGCTGAGTCCCCATGGGTTGCCCGGTGCCCTTGCCCACGGCTGGGTCACAGGGCACCACAAACAGTAGCTTGGAACAGCACACCTGGGGCCCCAGATTCTCTGCTCAGGGTCTCCTCTGGTTGCAGACCCGGTGTTGGTGGGCTGGTGTCCTCAGGTCCCCTTCAACCCTTGGGTGTGGCAGAGTCTCTCCCTGGTGGTAGGACTGAGGGCCATCCTCTGTCCCGGGTCTGTTCAAGACCCATACTGCTTGCCACATGCCCCACATGCAGCGTGCCGCTCGCGCCTTCAGATTGGCAACAAGCAGTCCCGTGGGTGCCCGCAGGACCAGGTCTGGTGTGACGGATGTGGTAGAGCAGGTGATGTCACAGCAGCTCTGTCCCCGAATGAGCTCGATCCTGAGGACTCACCACCACCCCATCTTCTGTAGTCAGAAACAAGCCACAGGAAGGCATGGACACTGGCTTCTGGAAGGGCCAGGGGCACACGCCTGCCACTCCTTCGCCCATTGGCATGGGGTGTGCTGCTTCTTAAAGACCCTTGCCTTGCAGTGACCTTCGTGCCTCAGCCTCCCGAGCCTGGCTGTGCAGGTGAACCCCGACACACCCGTACCGGCTTTTCGGGGGGGCCAGGTGCGGGTGTGTCTTGCCCAGCACTTCGTCCCCTCTACTCTCCCCCCTGCTGGCGTGTGCTCTGGGCCTGCTGGCATGGGCA